TTACAGACCTTGTTTCTTGATTGACTGATTGAACTGATATTGTAGATGAGTGACTGAATAAATGAAAGAATAACTGCCCTCCTTAATTTACATAATAAACACTGGACTATTTCATCTGTTATATTTCACTACATCATAATAACATGGGCTATCCCTTAAAAAGGTAGAAAATATAGTCCAAATATCAGTTGCCCTTACTTAATTAAGAATACACCTTTAATGATGAAAGTTATATGAGATGTAAGAAATAAGAAATTATAACATAAATATAAATCAAAAACTTGATATATATATTCTATAAGAGAAAAAGGGGAACAATTATATTTAAATATAACTTAAGAGTTATCAAATTTGACATACAGAGGTGCATTTTACATATATGCATTTTACATATATGCAAATATTGGCTTTTCCAAGCTAATCCCCCTCATTACAAGCAATCTTTTACTGCTGCACCTTCAGGGTGTTCTACCGTACAGAATAGATTAGTCAACCTGTAATGCGCCAGTAAAAGTTTGTTTGTACCCCTGGTAAGTTTTCCTAATAACAATATTATTTTAATGTTTTCAATGGTAAAGACTCTCTATTTGTTGGTTTAATAAGATATTTGCATTTTGCAGCAAAAGGTTTGCTTGTGACCAATATGATGAAGGAGCCGTATAATAAAATTTTGAGCCGCGTCAAGACAAAACCAACATAGTGCGTTTGCGACCAGCATTGATCTTGACCAGCCTGCATATCCGCGCAGTCTGATCAGGATCCATGCTGTTCGCTATCAGTTTCTCTACCTCGAGTAGGGTTGGTAAGCGAACAGCATGGATCCTGATCAGACTGCACAGAATGTTGGTTTTGTCATGACGCGTCTCAAATATGTATGATAAACATGCATAGTAATGATGTTTAACATGGCTGTACATATCTTATAGTTCGATATCCGGCATGTTTCACCAACTGCTCAGATTAAAATTTACAGTTGTAATTATCAAAGACATTAGTTATTGTGTGTCTGTTTGATTTAAATGCAATCAGAGAAGAATTCGCACATTTTGTTCACAAATCAAGGTTGTTGCCAAGCTTATTGTCTAATAATCATGGTGTTGTAATTTGTCAATGCACTTTTTCACCTGTCCGTATGCACTAATTGAGTGATTAACCGTCTGCTTTGTGATTTTCAAACCTCTGCTGGTGGCAGACATTAATATATTAGTCAAGATAAACAAAGGATTTTAGTATAATAAAAGAAATTTTGGGATTGAAATTTTACTTTGAAATACTGAATAAGCCAAGGTTAAAAAGTTGAGTTTACATACATGTATAAATATGGAAGGGAGGTAATCAGGACTTAAAGATGGCGAAAAATCGATAAGCGATTTCCAGATAATGATTGTAACGCCTGTACATAATTTACAGTTCAAACTCCAATTTCTTTTCAAAAAAAAACAAAAACTACGAGTACATGAGATTTAAAAAGAAATTCTTGTTAAAATATGACTACACAATATTCATAAAAAAAATTTTTATCACAAAAAAAATTCTATTTGTTTAGTTCACTTAGACATGTCACTCAAGAAAAGTTAAACATTGTCTCAGTCAATATATTTAACTTAGTGAGATTAAGTATTAAATAATATACACTACTTTGAAACAGGAACTTAACGTGAAAAACTGACTTCTCTCAAAAGGAATTAAATCAAGTCTGCGAAAATACACCTGCGTTAAATTAAAACAAATTTCATAATATATAGGAGGCCATCTGATGGTTGCCACACTTCAAGTGATCTGATTGAAACTGAATGACTCTTGTTTTGTAGTTTATATTGTAAACTGTCAATTTTGAAATAATTTATCTCCAGATTGGCAAAAACTGATATGAGCATTAAATTCTTCTCTTAAAACCTAGACATTCATTGGAATTGATACAAGGAAAGTTTTAAGGCTACAAGTCTAAAATTGCCTTTTCTGAATGGAAAGATTTAATGTTGTCTGTAAGCTTATATATAATATAGGTTGTTTTTTTCAAATCACTTCTGAAGCATTACAGTTTGATTAAACAAAAAGCACTTTGGATTTTTTTTATCCTCAACAAATTCATGTTAAGAAGTTGTATAGTTGGTATTTAAAGGAATATTGCAACCCGAGTACATGTAATACTCAGATTTAAAAGCTACAAAGGGATGTAACTCTACCACCTTTAACCTGCTTGAACTGAAAGTGACCAGCCTTTGCTACTCCCAAGGGGCTTATTTAAAATACAAATTCTGAAATGTTTAAACATGTTCATAATTATATTAACTAGTATTATTTATATAGCAAAACAATTTTACAATAGTTTCATAAATGTTCAAATTTTAAAACAGAAACTTTCAATAATTTTTTTTGTAAATCAGTTTCAGATTAAACAATGTCATATTTCAATGTCTTATTTATAACAAACATAAGGCTTTTTTTAAGACCCTTAAACATAAATTATGGATTTTTTTCCATGTTTATTACCTGTTAAAACTTAGCTTTACAAATGATGAATCCTTAAGGCAACACAACTATTACATAAGAAAATGCACTATTGTTTATAAAGTGCATCTGTTTAACTTCAAAAAGCAGTTAAAACAAACATAAATATCATTCTATCAAAGCAAACAGAAGGAGGAAAAAATATACTCAGAACAAAAAAAAACACACTCACAACATACACACATGAAAATCTATTAGCACCATCTGCCCCTATATTTACATTATTTGTCACTTTTCTCCTATGACAGATTTATTCACCTCCATTTATTTTCATGTCAAATCTTCGTAGTTTGACAAAGTGATTTTAAAATATTATTAAAGCAGAGGGGAGTGTGGTGTAAAGCACTTCTAATACAGGCTGATATTTCTTGATGGTCGTAAATCAATCAACGCCTGACAGGTGATTATTGAGTTAAAATAAAGGTAGGGGAAGGCTGTCCATGTTGACTGAGTACAATAATCCATGCAAAAATGATCTAACTTGTTTTATCATATTTTATTATATTGTGGTTCTATATAAAATCACTCACTTGTTAAAAGTTATGCAATTTAGCCACATAAAGTCTCTCTCTGTGAATAACATATTTCAGCAGCCATTTTCAAATTCAGCCATGAATTATTTAAACATCATATGAGGAAGTTAAAACAAATCATTATGTGTAAATGTTGTAAAATTTCTTTATTAAATCATTGTTGAGTTTAGCTGTCAATTTTCTATTTTCAATATTATAATCCTAAATTCTGACAATAAAATTTGTATAAATTCTAAAGAATATTTGAATAAACCTATCTTTATGCTTTTAACCTTACCTGGCATAAGTACTTTTTTTGATATTTTCTATATCAATTTCTATCAATTTCTTCCTTACATTTCTGTTGTACTTTTTTTCACTAAACTGACAGCACCTGACAGCTTGTGACCTTCATAAAAACCTACAGAAGCAGTCTTCTTGAACACATTGATCAATCAACAACAATAAATTTCCTCTCTCACAAGAACAATCAAGCTCCTGAAGCACACAGATTTTTTTTTCACAAAACAAGTCAATGAATTGATGAACATGAGCTGACAGGGGAACACTTGAGCCCCACACACTGAAAGCAGTATTAGTACATAATCATTGCAGACGTCAAATACAAATCACCTTCAATTATATCTGTCAGTCACTCCTGTCTTAACTAATTTAATTACATCGCTTTTATTTCCAAATCAAATGTGACAAAAACTGTCACTCATTGTCAACATCTTGCATTCCTGCCTCCTGATCAAGTTTCGTGCTTCTAGTGAAACTTGCAAAAATCTTACACCACTGGTATTATAATTATTTACTAATTTGCAAAACATTGTCAAGGATTCTACAATTCAGTATCTACAGTAATAGTTCCGTTAAAATACCCTTCAGTGTAATGACTTTTGTACAGAATATTTTTAATCTTTGCTAAGAATTAACTGACAAAAAATGTCAAAATGTCAAAAAAATAGGAGTGGTGATTTCAAGTGGTTAAGGTGTCTGCCTCTCAACCCAGGAGTTGTGTGTTTGAGTCTTACTTGGGTCACAACCACAATTCCTCTGAACTGAGTTGTTCAAGCAGGCTCATTTACAATCATTAAGTTGCTATAATGATACATGATCAAGCTGAAAAAAAAATGACAACATTTTTTTGTATAGGTTAGTGTTTGTAAGCATTAATGGAAATAAATCTGCATGGCGGAACCAAGCAGCACAACAAATTTTATGAAATTTATGATGACTTAACAAACACTTACCTACTTAGTGGTTTAAATCATGTTTTTAATTTTTTACATAGTTCAGTATGATATGCTGATTTAGCGGGGCAGGGGTGCTAGGGGCAGTATTTAACGAGGAGCTGTTGTCAATCAAATAAATTATTTAAACCAAAAAATCACAAAAAAATATATGATCTCATCTGATCCATCTAACAATATATTAATTTCAACAAATTTTCATGAAATTCTATAATAAGAGTTTTACTGTTTTATTAATAAAAATTACCTGCTTAATTAACTATAAAGTAAAAATGTCAATATTAAATACAGTAGGTAACTAATGTATAAATATACTGTTTAATTTAAATATCTGTTAAAAATGCCATGTCATATATATTTTTTTTCATAAACAACATCAACATATTTCATTCAAATCTACAGGTAGACTTTTATAGGATTTTTTTTACATCTTGTTTTTCTAATTTATAATTTAATTAATACCCAAATAATAAAATAAGTACATCATTTAACAATATAAAAAACATATCTCTAATTTAAAAATAAAACAATTTAACAAAAACTCATTAAGTTTTTTCATAACATTATATTAACAACACCTTTCAAGCATTAAATATAAATTTATATATCATCATAAAATTATATATCGAAAAACTCATCACACTCTACATTCAAATTCAAGATCATTTTATCAACAGCTTTATCAACAATTCCTTTGTTTTAAAATTTAATTTAAACTCACCTGATAACCATTAAAACTTCCAGATGTGAAAACAGATTTCACTTGTATGTTATATAAAATTTCCTCAATCTCACTTTTGCTCACCAACAGTAAAAATATCTTGAATTTCATCGACTTTTTTATTTCCTCGATTTTAATTCCCCTGTTAACAGTTTTAATTGTGTGTCTCTGTAAATACTGTACTTTATTTTAAATGACTCAATGGTAATATCCTTCCACCTCTGTACTGTTCACCATTTTGTTTACACGGCTCAATGTTATGTCAAATTATAAAGTTGTCAAACTAGGAGCTCTGTTTTTCACTCCATGTTGATTTCACCTGGACTCAATCTGTCAATCAAACGCACTGTTATCACAATGGGGGCACCTGTTTAGTTACAAAGGTAGGAACAATTTTGACATAACGTAACATAACAGCTGAGTTCAGTCACAAATGTCTGGTGAATTACACAAATTATTAATCAAAGATCTATCGGAAGGCCTCGGCAAAATTGGGAACGACAAGCATCAGTCTCCTATCATTCATTTATGTCGAATAACAAAGGGAGATATACCGATTTTGTCTCAGTTTTTGACAAAACAGATAGAGTTTTATCAGCTATTTGTCCCTAATTTACAATATCAACATTTTTATATTCGTATAAGAATGATTTTATGCAATAATACAAACAGGAAGCCATAAAATGCATTATGGGGAATAATTTGCAGTTGCACTGAGCATTTTGTCTACTTAAAAAGAGAATTATGGCACTCTTATTATGCCCATTTTATAACAATTTATTGCTTGATTTAATTTACTTAATGGATGTGTATATATCATTTTATCTTTTATTTACCTAAGATTGGCAGCTGACCATGTGCCACGTAGACAATCTATTGTCATATTGTCACCAACAAAATAGGATAATACAGTGCAAGAAAATTCCAAGGAAAATGTCTTAAAAATTTCTCTTTTATAAAATCATTGTCAAAAACCCATTGTTAAGGATAATGATTCACAAAATTGATTTATGAATAGCAGTGTCCTCTTTTAGTACATTATCACAAGTATATTCTTCCTTACAAATATATTTCACAATATGAAATTTTTGCTTGGTATAATATCACAAAATATATTTTTTTTCTACATATATTTTTTCTTTGGTATAATGTAATAAAATATGCGTATTTTTAAAGCCGCCGCCTTCAGCTTTTCAAAAGGTATCATCTATTATTTTTATATGAATCGTTTCATATAATTGTTAAACCAAAAGAATTAATGTGGAAAATGAAATTTGCCGATGATAAAATACATAAACAGTAAGGAAACCCTTTGATACCTCTAATTTACCAGTCGGTTCTTTTAATATATTCAAATAAGTAAAGCAGCGACTTGTTTCCCGATCTTCTATTTTTAGAAACAAACATCACTGAAGTGATATAAATAGCTCTTGGGACGCTGTTTTAACAGTGATATGACAGAATACACAGAATTGTTTTTCCAACAGAAAATAATAGCTGAAGTATAATGTCAAAAATAAACTCTTCTTCATAAAATATATTCTATAATCAGGACATTATGTTATTTTGCTTACAACATCTTTGTCACATTAATAAGACTATATCATAATTATAAATGTGGTATTTTTTTTTTAAATCAAAAAGTAAATAAAATGAAAATTAAAGCTGTTAAACCTATTAAACTATTGTGAGTTATAACTGTCACAAATTATAATATATAATAGTAGTGAACAGATGGTTATTGAAGTGGTGGATCAAAGCAAGAATGTCCAATGACAATATGCCCAAGTTTATTGTCCTGTTTTCATCTACAGGGTATGCTCGTAATTTTTCCAGATAATCATCAAAAGTTTGTATTGGAATATTGACAGGTTCATAAATGAACCGACTGATAACCGGATGATTGATGGACCATTACAAAACAAATTTACTTCCAAACTTAACATGTGTACAATGTCATTACACTTGTATGGTAGGCTGCCAGAGCCTGAAGGGATGAACGGTTTATATTTCCTTTTATATTACCAGTAACAAAGTATATAAAAATTAAAATGCTTCAAAATCATCAAAGTTCCTTAGAATTTACAAAAATATATATCAAAATAGTTATCACTAATTAAATATACTTACTAAATATTGACAAAAGTTAATTATTTATACATATTATGTATTATCTTTAGACGCAGAATCTAAGGCAACATAAAGTAAAAGTGTTCAATAAATGGACAGAGCATTTTAATTATTTTCAATTACATGTTTTGTAGTTTAAAGAAAATTTGTGACAATTTTTTATAACATCTGCATGAAATATCACTGACACTCACTAAGGACTGTAATTCTTAATAATTTGTTGAAACAGACAGATAGTGACACAAGTTACAGATATTTTATATTACAAACTTTTATAAAAATAGTCATCCTCCCTGTAACACATTTGATGATTCCCTCTTTTTTATTACCTCCCTTTAAGGGTGTTGACTAAATCGGAGAAGTGTTCAGGTGAAGCAAAAAGTACATTTTTTTCTGAAACAATTAAATTCTACTAATTAATAAATATATAATTAGATTTACATACATAGTACCTGCAACATTTTCCTGTGTTTCTTTTTAATTGAACATGTAACATTTCAGTCTGTCGAAATAAATTGCTGTCAAAGTGCCAAATGCTACCAATGTATACATAAAATGAACCTCAAATTAATGACAGCATAACACATGTGTACATTTTTTTTCTATGAATTAATTAATTTATCTCAGTATAAATCAAGCACCCTAAAGGCTATATAAATGGTAATGAAATATTTTTCCCAATTAAAACATAAAAATATTTTCTGCTGACAGATGGACACTTTTCTAATAGTAACAAATGATTTAATTAATAGATGGACATGATAAAAAAATAGAGAAATATTTTATATTAATTGATAAGAGGGTGTTGTCAATCAGAACAGGACATAGGCGATTAACATTATGACAACAATAAATCAGAATTTATCAACAGTACATCTGTTTTATTAATACTCTTCAACAGATAAAAATATACACAAATTGCCTTTTTTCCTCCTATTCAATGCTTAAACCTCGTTAACTTTCATATCTCTTCATTATAAGGATAAATAATATATAAGTTGTTCATCAGTAGAAATTTATATTTTATGTAAGTTTGACCTTTCAGCCTGCTGGCTACAACTGGGGCAACTGATTTCAAACAAGCCTCTAGTGCAGACCAAGATCAGTCAGCACATCTATGCCAAATGATCCTGACGTCTGCACTTTTGGATATTCAATCAGTAACATACACACTACAGCTATGATTGGCGTATATATAGTCAAAGTTGAGATGATCTTTGTCTATCACTAAATTCGGATTTTGATTATTAAAACCCATTGATAATTCAAAGTAAATTTTCAGTTCCCGGCACTTAAAATAATAGAGGTTGAACTTTATTTTAAAATTCTTCCATATAAATTATGAATGGTTTTGTCCAGATTGAAAGATGGACAAGTCCAATATACCTAACATGGAAATGGCCAAATATATGCCTTTTGTAAGTCAACATTGGAGTGGCGATGTACTTTAATTTTGCATACCTTTGTTCTCGGAATATTTTAATGTTTGTACAATCATAAATGAGATTGAAATAAAAATTGGAATCATCACTTTCAGTTTTTATTTAATTCATATCAAGATTACCAAAATTATCTGATTTATTAACAGTTAACCAATCATCAATAGAGTAAAAACAAGAAATGATAGAATTTAGAACATGTTTGTAAAACAAACAGAAGCAATTTTCTGCTAATCACTCCATATAAGGAAACAAATTGTTTTAACAAAACAAACAAGTCATTTGTATAACTTTTTTAGAATCACGACTGTGGAAGAAAAAAAATTGTCAAGGTGATTTTACAAAACTTCAGTTGATCAAAAACTTTTTTCTAATTGCAACAGTGACTCTGAGGAATAATTTCAATGGATAAAGAAAATAATGGCTGAACAAAAACGGTAAAAGAGAAATTAACATCATTTTTTTAATTTCTCCTGAATATCATAATAAATTCAAATTTTAGACAAGAAGTCCTTTGTTTAATTTCATATTTGCCATCACTGATTCGATGAGTGAAATTGTTCCAAAATGTTGCTATTCTCAAATCAATTTGGAATGTATTGTTTTGTATTGTTTTTGCTCATCAGCTAATAATTGAAATTGCAAACAATTTTTCAACAGATTAAGGATTATTCCCAACTAAATGTTCAAGGCTGGGTTTTAAGAAATATACTTACAATGTTAATCATGACAGGCCAGATTGTCACTGATGGGAAGAAAAAAGATATCCTTGCATGTATAATTATTATTATTCATGTATAATTATTATTATTCATGTATAATTATCAAAATGTAATTTATTATTTCAGGCACCTGCATAGATTGGTGATACATTCACTTCCTGTAAGCTATATGGGGAACTTACAGACATTAACATTGATGTCAACAGTCATTACCATACAAGGAATGGCTTAAGAGAATATCATAAGAATGACTGCTAGAATGACTGCTGTATAAGTGTCTCCTGCATACATATCTTTGCTTCCATTCCATAGCACAACTTTGCAAAAAAATAAAGCATTTTGCCAGGAAAGGTCACATGACATGCATCTGTTAAGAAAAGTGTGTTCAAAGCATATCTCAAATATTCATTATGATATAAACATAGATACTATAACATTCTTATTTATTTATAGCTTCAAATAAACAAGGAAATAAATAGCATCCTTAAAACATTATTTTTCCTGCTTTGATATTTCTCAATTTATAATTCGCAACAAGATCCAAAATATATGTCTGAAAATACTGAAAGGTCATCAAAACATATAAATTCAAATTGTGATAGTATACATATGTTAAGTATTTCTCTGAAAAAGAACAAGGATTTTGATGCAGGACTTATTATGTCATAATATGTTCCAATGGTAAACCAACAATATACATATAAATTTTTATACATAACAGGATAAGGATTTCATCTACAAATACCCTATGTGTGATTTACTGTAGCAATTTGTTGCAAAATCCAAACTAACCACAGCCAGTATATTACCTATACGGTAACATAAAAAAAGTCCATATAAAATATTTGTATGACCATGTTTACAGGAGATATTATGGTATCCACTTTTCTGGGGACAATTTGGTGCAATTAAAATTGAAATTCTCATTTGAAATCACAGTTGCAATTTTTTTTTTTTGTCATCCTGGCATCGAATTATAAATGTTCAGTATCTTGATTAGTTAAATACAAAAACATGGCTTGATTTTCATGACAGATTGAAATATGCCTCAAGGGGTCTTTGAGAAGCAATGCTTTTGCCCTATTTCCATTAAGCCATCTTTCTTATGAGGTAAAAAAATCAAGTGCCATCAATTCTGCAAGTAAAATTTACACTTGAGAACAGCACAGGGATGATGGTTTTTTGTCAGGTAATATTCTA